GGAACTTTAAAGTTGTATGTGCCGACGGCCTATAGAACAGGAATGCCTCTATCAGGAAAAGTCTCTCTCGAGGGGGTCAGTATGGACGATGTGGAAAATTCTACAGTTCTCATTTTCGTCAGAAACTTCTTATGCTGGGATGAGGAAAACATAATTTCGGCCGTTGAGGTGACCTTGGATAAAAATGGCAATGCCCAGTTTTTCTTGCCAACCGTGGAGTCGCATAATCAAATTCGCATATCCGCTTTCAGGCAGACAGAGACGTCAAAAAGTTACCAAAATTCTCTATCACTCATCTCTAAAGCTATCAAATGTAACTGTCTCGACGATCTTCACACATACGAAAGCTCTGTCTTATTACAACCGTTGTTGTCGTCAGGCTATGACAAGATCCAATTGTGGCCATACTCGCCCCAACTGACAACCGATAGTCTTGGGAACTTGCGATTTGCCCTTCTTTCGAATAACTTGACGGCGAATCGCCAGCTCTTTCTGGAAGCCATGACAATCCACGGTAAACATTTGTTTCGGAGACTGACCCAGGACGAGTCGGAGTCCAGAGAGGCCTGCATCGATCAAGACGGCGAACTCGGGCACTACAAGTGTACCGGATTGTCGGGTCCAGGCCAACTCGGCGAGATTAAGTGTCTTTCAGGTTGGCAGGGTCGAAACTGCCTGAAAGCGGTTTGCGATAATGGGTGCGGAGACTACGGATTTTGCGTGTCGCCTGGACGCTGCATTTGCCTAAAAGGCTGGAGCGGAAAATTGTGCGCTACATTCTCCCGCTATCCGGGCTGCCAGAACTCTTCTGGACCGAGTGGTACCGACTGTGGTTGGTGGGGCCGTTGGAAGGTCGGTTGGGGCGGTAAAAGAGGATTTAGGTTAATGTCGAAAGAGTTGAACAGGACAAATCCGAGTGTTGATGCCTCCGTACAAGAAGATGCTGATGCATCTGACATACGAACCTGGTTTACCACCTCAGTTGAGGTTCAGTTGGAAGACGATTGGCGCACCGAGTCGAGAGCCAGCATCTACTACCTTGAGACAAATCCGGCTGCAGCCACCCAGAATGAATATGTTATGGATGTGTTCCACTTAAAGGGCGCAGACGACTATCAGAACTCCGTGCGAAGCCAGAACAAATCGACACTAGGTCTTCGCTTTTCTACAGACGCCTCTTCGCCGAGTCAACCGATCCGTCTGCGTCTGGAACCGCCGGCCTCGGACAACAATCCCGACACCATCACAGACAAGACGGCCGCCAGTCCTACAGAAGGTCAAAATGGCTCTATACACTCGTATTGCTTTGTTAGAATATCCGATTCTGCCCTCAAGGGTATGGAAGATGAGAACAACAAAGTGTTCGATTTGACCATGTATCTCGACCTGATAAAAGATTACGCCAATTCGCCCTACACTTCTGTTCATGTCAATTATGTCAGGGATGCCTTTCGATGGGTAGGACTTACTGCCAAGCCAATGCATAGTTACCCTTTAGTTCAGCAAACTAGACCCTGTCCAGTCTACGCTATATCGAGACAAGGTCCCCTTAATTCTGCCATAATGATGGAGAGAAACGTAAATTTACTTGACATCAAGAAACAGCCACGTCTTCGTACCTTTTTTCCCGAGGTCTGGCTCTTCGATGCACAACCGATGAAAACCTATTCAGGACACGAAATCTCGAATAGAAGCTGGCAGGGCCTTGAGTACAATCTGACAACTCCTGATTCTCTCACTGCTTGGGTGGCTAGTGCCTACTGTCTGACGAGAACTCGGGGCTTATGGATTGCCAATTCCAGTGAACTCTTAGTAACTTTGCCCTTTTCCCTCGACATTCGCATACCAAAAGAGGTGAAGCGTTATGAGACTGTTCGTCTGCCAGTGAATCTGGCAATGCGGACAATCAGGCCAGTGGGATCGAAACAGGACAAGCTCTGTCTTGCCGTGAAAGTCAGCATTCAAGAACATCCAACCTTTAGGCTCGAGTCGTCGCCCATCAGCATCCAATGCCTCTGCGAGGGAGAGACGAAAATGCTCCACTTCAACGTGAAGCCGATTAGGCTTGGAAAGATGCCCGTCATTGTCAGGGCAATTGGTCAGAGCGACTCTATCATTTGCTCGAAAGGCTTCAATCTGGCTGTTGACAAATACTTTGTC